CCTGAAAAATTGTCATTTTTCAAGTGACTTCATTTTGAAAAGATTGGTTTCATGTCTTGTGGTTGCAGTCTCACAGCATTAGAAATTCTTGGATTAGCTGTAAGCACTTGAATAAGGTCACACGGGTATTGTTGCCATCAACATTGGGATTTTCTATCCTTAATCTTTCTTAATGAAATAGGTATTTTAATTTAATAGGCAAAATGTAAGATTGGTTTATTAGTATTAAACTATAGAAAGATTAAGATATTACAACTGAATTGAGCCCTTCTAGAGGTAATTTTTATCTAGCTTTAAAAATTTCATTACCAATGGAGTATTATTGGTCACAAATCTAATTAATGACACCAGTGATAGCATCAGAAAGGTAGGTTAATTTAGGAATTTTTTATAGGAACTAAAATTTTTAGAAATTACCTTGAAAACAAAAGCATGTTTTGTGTTAAGATAATATTATCTTTGTTATAATCAAGAAACTGCTCATAGTGGCATTTTCCTAAGGAATCAATTGGTTGCCATATTTGATAGGAAATTTAAGATTTAAAACTCCAATGGAAAGCCTTATCAATAAAGGATTTCTTAATGTGAAACAGTGTCTCCCTGGACAGCTTCCTGTTTCTCACAAACCCCCGGCGTCAAGATGAGCCTGGTTCCATCCTTGGCTTATGGTTGGAAACCACTGTGTTAGGCAGGAGCAGTTCAAGCCGTGATGGGCAGCAGCCAGGTGGGGCCCGGGGTCTCTCATCTCCATTCAGCCCGGCATTTCTGACTCAGTGAGCCCACAACAGACATGTTTAAAGTTGAAATAATTGTTTTGTCAGACATGTTGAAAGTTGAAATAATGGAGTCACTGCAGTATTATCTCATTCCCAGTGACGTAGTCACAACTCCGGGACCCGGAATCAGCCTACAGGAGATACCACAGGAATGACGAAGAATTGTAAGTTAGGGTCCTGGGGTCATAATGCAAACACAGAAGCTAGCTTATTTTCCTTGGGAAATGGGCTCGTAGGCCTCCACCCTATCATCTTATAGTTGTATCTTCTTTATACTTCTTTACATTCATCTTTCTGTGGTAGCTTTTGATTCTTGGTTCACCCTCCCCTTCTCCTTGCCTTACAGTAATAGGCAAATCTGAAATCATTTTAACTTTCTCGATTAAGAATGCTATCAAACCTTATGAAAGGTGATCGCCATTCTAGAAATTATACCATGCAATTTTGCTGAAAACTGGATATTCCAATTTTGCTGCAGTCAGTGAACCGTAGAAACCGGTTTCCCCAACAATTCCGGTGTTATTGACTCGAAATCGACTGTCGTCCCGTTGCCATGTCAGTGCAGATAGCACTGCGTTTTGCATTTAGGAAAGAATTATATTTTTTTAAGAGAGCAATGCTGAAGAAAACCAGTTCGGTAATACAGGTGTTTGATCCTTCACAAAACCTTTTGCTTTATGGCCACAAACTATGTCTTGTGAACAATATTTTGCCATCTCTAAAAAGCAAAGTGAACCAGCTTTACCAAGCTTGCCAAATTAAAGGCATTTCTTATTCTCCTTAGCTTATGCTTTCCTTAATGAATTTAATGTTTTTTTTTTCTTTTTAGGTTTAATAATGCTTCCAAGAATGTTTATTGGCCAGCATGGGACTATTGGCAGACTATAAAAATTGCTATAAAACTGTATTTTTATAATTAAATTACAATAGTTACACTTGTTGTGGTAAAAATGAGAGGAAAACGTTTGAGAAAGCATTATTCTAATGCACTAATAGAGCTAAACGAGACCATGGTGTAGGGTGTTTCAGTTTCTAAATGGCTGTAAATACTGTTCTCTTAGCTGGCACAGTATTTGAGGGTCTTTGCTATCTATCCGTAAGTTTATCAAATATATTTTTACGTGCCTTTTCTCCTGAAACACACATATAGTGATAGTAAACGGGATCTGGTCAGACATGAGCACGGCAGCGTGTCGGAACCGCGCCAGGGAGGACGCAATGAAGTGCACATGTAGCATGTTTGGGCTCCTGCTAAGCGCTAGTTAACTGCGAAGATCGGAGGCAGCCAGACCCAGATGACGCAGCCCCAAGTCCAGCGCGTGCTCTCAGGGTACAGACAGGAGCCGCCTTCTCCATACGGAGCCGATTAGAGAGGAGGCTTGATTCCCGGGCTCTTTTTGTCTTGTTATCTTAAAGAATGCTGAAGCCATCATGTGCATTCAGACAAAAACTGAATTTCACCTATGGGATGTTCTTTTGTAATTCTCTTTGGGACCAGGGAGGTAACATTAAACGAAACACCTAGAAATTTGTATGAGTTTTGGATAATTCAGATCATTAAATGAAATAGAAATAACGACATTAAGTGTAAATCAACCTGGTAAGTACTGAATGAGAAGACTAGTTACTGTTCAGTAGGATTTGGTCACTTTACTGAATTTTCAGCACCCTGAGGAAGTAGCCACTGAATTGAATTGCTTCATGTGAGTTTCCCCCACGATGAGAAAAACTTGCTTTGCTTTGGGCTACTGACCAGCTGGACTGATTTGCCCTTGAGCCCAACCGGAAGAGATGATGATAGTGAGCTTACTTTTGGCCTGGAGTGTACATTGCAGAAGATGAACTGGGTTATTTCCTCTGCCTTTTTCTATTTGCCTGATTGAGTATATGGCTTCGCGGTGTTTGAAGTGTTTGCTTAGACTACCACATGGATGACATGGAGTCCTTTGACATGTGGTCACATGGTAACATGTTATTGGCAACACTTCATTGAGACCACAGTGGCTGATCTGATCACGCCTGGGTAGGGCCAGTTAACAATGCCCAATTAGACATTCTGTCTGGCTTTCAAGTTTTGCTGCTAGAAAGCTTGGAGAGGCAGGCATCTTCTTCTGGATGACAAGGCAATGCAATACTCGTTACCCTTTTAAATGAACTTGAAGAGATCACAATTAAAATTTTGAGACAGCAAAAAGTGTTCTGCCATTTGATGTCATCAAAAGAAATGTCTTCCTATATATCTCTCTTTTGGTTAATTGCTGAAAGTAATTATAATGATAATAGATATCATATTTTGGCTATTTTTTAAATGTGCCAGGTGTTGACATAAGCACCGTACCTAGTGTATTTTATTTATTTTTTGACATCATCCTAACATATATTATCATGACCATTTTACAGACAGGCATGCTACTTTACCTCTGAGCCTCAGTCTCCTCTTCTCCACGAAGGAAGTTAGAGGCAGAGCTGGAAGTTGTCACTCGGGGTTGTTTAACTCCAGAGTCCTTGCTTATACTGCTGTTCTTTAACTCATTAGCACAAATATGCAATCATTCTTTTTACTGGTGCCCTTTCCTGGTGAGTTTCTGGTAATAAATGTCATTACAGCTTGTCTTCTCCTGTTTGATAGGAACCAGTTTATTCTAAAACATGGTTGGCTGATGCTGTGATGGTTCATTTCCAAGGCAGGATCAGTTGTCAGAGGGTATAGAGTGCAGCAAAGAAAGAGCTATGTTTGCTTCTGAGAGAAGGTGAGCCCTGGTTCTCCGAGTGTAAGCCAATGTAGGAGAAAGGAAGGCCAGCCAGCAGAGGCAATGAACTTGAATAAGCTCACCACATCAGTTGTAGTGACTGTCCTACCCAATGCCTGCGGCTCCCTCTGTGGCTCCTGTTGCCTTCACAGTAAACCCTCGGTGGCTCCCTCTGTTGGAACCTTTGCGTGCTTGCCTGTGAGTCACGGCAGCGGAAGTACTAGCGGAGATAGCCAACACTTACGCAGCTTTACGTGAACCGTGCCACATGCCAACTATTTCTTTTTTACCATCTCCGCCCAAGTGGAAATATTCCTTTTGAATCTTTACACTATACAGAGGCAATAAATGGACTAACTGACTGTGGCAATAGTTTTTCATTAATTGTATGAGTTTTGAGGCTCTTGGGATAAAGTAATCACGTGTTGTCTCATTTAATTTTTAAAACGATCTTCATCATCATTTCACTATCAAGTAAATTGAGTCTCAGAGATGTGAAGTAACTTGGCCAACATCACACAGCTGAGTAAAGGATGAAGGCCAGATCGAAACCTGGGTCTGCAGAGTCTAAACCTGGCGAGCTGAGCCAGAGCACCATGGAGCCTTAGAGAAGATTGTCAGACTTAGTTCTCTGACTTTAGACAAGTATGAGTCCCAGAGAATGCCAAGTGTGGCCCAAAGGCGGGTACTGTTTGGATGATGAAACATATTTGTTTGGGGACTGCCTTTCCTTTTTCTTCTGACAGTTGGGGAGGGGAGCATTGCTGTCTGCTAAGGCCCAGCTCCATCCCTGGCTGCTTCACACACCCGGCTTTCCTGCCTGGCCCATAGGATACCCGGGTTAATGACTCTGGTCTAAGTGTCAGGAACAGGCAGCTCACTCTTGTGTTGAGTGCAAAACGAAGGTTCCACAACCACTTTCCATGGGGTGTTTTGTGACCCTGCCAACACTTTAAAATGATTGCTTGCTTTTAGCTTTAATCTATTTCCTCCTCCCTTACCCAACCCTGTCAATATTCAGAGCAACTGTTAGTTTCTAAGAATACAGTTATTACGTACTCTCTTTGCATTTTGTCTTTGCACCTTTCCTTTTGTAACCCTGTCTTCCCTTTGACATCTCAGATGACTGACAGGCCGTGAGCCTCTCTGGCTGGCAGGTGGTGCCTCCGCCACGGGGGAGTGTCATCACACAGTGAATTAACACCTCAGCCTGGATTTGTTTAGCACTTGACACTCACATGCCTTGCTTTCCCCGGGGATGGTCCAGTATTAGATTAAACTGGTAGAAAAACGTAAATGTCCTCGATAAACAGACTTTGTATTTGGCGCATCGATGTTTTTTGAAGTTCGTTATTGCCTTCATTTTCAAAGTTGGTTGGGGAGAGCTTTTACCAGTTTTGGAAGTTATATGTCATTACCACTTGATTAAAAAATAATTTAAAATTAACCACCCACTCTGAATTTTCTTTTTCAGATGCAAAAGAAATTGTTTTAAAAGCCCAGATCTTAGCTGGAGGAAGAGGAAAAGGTGTCTTCAGTAGCGGTTTGAAAGGCGGCGTTCATTTAACAAAAGAGTAAGTCTGGGCGTTTTCATCCCCGTCTGGGCCGCAGTGGTGGAAGGTCTTGCTGGCGATGGACAGGAGCACCGGTGGGAAGGTGGGTGCAAGGTGGGAGCTGGAGCTGGCGCATAGAGGGAACAGTCAGGAAGACGCTGGCAACGCCCGTTTCCTTCTGCTCCAGAAAAGCGTTTTCTTCACTTGGTGACCCTGGCGCTGTGTCTCCCCTAGACAGTCAGGTTTCATTCCAAACGCTGGCAGTGACGCCACTTACACATCAAATTCTGCTGCCCTAACGGCGCTCCTGTTCCAGACCTGCAGCGGCTGCCCATCACCAGGCATCCTGTCTCCTGTCTGAGACAGCCTGAGGCTCCCTTCACCTGAGCCAGTCTGTGATTTTTCACAGTGATTCTTACCCTCACCTTTACCACCCCCCACCCTGTTGGCCAGTACATTCCAAATTACCGCTCTCAAGTCTCTGTTATTCAGCTCTCATCTAAACCTGTCGTGCGTTTCAGCCTTATCTCTTTACTATGACTATAATTTATTTGGGGGGGAGTAGGGGGTATCTTCCTTCCCTTCCCCTCCCCTCCCCTCCCCTCCCCTCCCCTCCCCTTCCCTCCCTTCCATTCATTTGTGTTTTTGAACAGAAAGTCCCATGGGTCCTGGGCATGGAAAGTGTGCCTTGCCCATGTGGACGTGAGGATTTAGTATGGACTCTGCTTTAAAATTATTTTCAACAGAGTTGTTGATTTTCTTTCCTTTCTCTTTCTCTCTCTTTCTCTTAGCCCTAAAGTTGTGGGACAGTTGGCTAAACAGATGATTGGGTATAACCTGACAACGAAACAAACTCCAAAAGAAGGTGTGAAAGTTAATAAGGTAATATGAATGCTTCTGGTCATTTTCTATGTGTGTGTTAAAAAAAGAAAGCCATATTTCAGTTTTGGCAGAATTTAATGCACTTTGGCAATGTGCCATCTTATTTTTAAACCTCATGTCATCTGTTTAGTATGTAGTATGACTTTGAGGAGAAATAAAAAGTGTCTGTAATAGCAATGTTCTTTATTGTGCTCCGCATGTAGTGAAAGTGGGCCTGGGCCCTGTGCGAGCCACAGGCCACGCCCAGCCCGGAGCGCAGGGCAGGGGCCCCTCCTGGTGCTGAGTCAGGGCCCAGCATGTTGGGAGGAACTGTCTGCTCTGTGGGCACAGCTCGCAGGTGACGATTCCGCCGTGTGCATGCTTGGGGAAACCGAGGCAGCGCATGCTGGTTTTACTTTCCAGAGAGAGTTGAGTGGGAAATTTTTGACGTGACCAACAAGAAAATCACCAGCTCGTGGTTCTTGTGCCACGAGAGAGTCTGTCCTCCTCCCAAGGGGCCATGGAGCGTAGGGAGGCTGGGCGCTGAGCTCTGAGCTCTCCCTCGGACAGAGCCTTGCTGATGTCAGAGGCGCTCACAGGGCCGGCCCGCCCTTCTCCCCTCCCACTGCCTCTCCCGCAGGTGCCGGAACTGGTTCACATGCAAGCGTGTTGTTTTTTGTTGGTTTCGTTCAGCCTGGCACACTACGTCTATTTCCTTTTAAATCTGGCTATGTGCCTTTTCCTGTGTACCTTCTTCAACATTTGCCTACAGAGGGCATTATTAGTATTTTTGTTTTAAAAATTTGTAGTTCTTTATGGCTAGATGGGTTTTTACATTAGAGTTTGTGGTACTTTTAAAAAGCATATAAAAGTACACAAAGAGTCACACTGTATAGATGAGCTTGAAATTAGTTTGTAGAAAGGTTCCTAAAATACTGGTGATAAGTTCACTCTTGTAATTTGAATCATTGCCAGGAAACTACTAGAGTGATCTATTTTTTTTTTTTTAGTCATTTTTTTGTTTCCCGATTCCAAAAGTGACTAACTTATGTAAAAATTCCAGTAGTACAGAAATAATAAAAATTAGAAGTAAAAGTTCCTTGTATTGTCACCACTCAGAAATAATTGTCATACATTATTTAGTCTTTCTTCTCTGTAAAGTGTGTCTTACCACTTTTCTATAACAATAACATTTTATATGCTTTAGGGAACATGCTTTTTTCTTTTTACTTACAGAACCTTGGACATCAGTCAGAAGTCCAGATTATTTTAGACTCAGTTTCTTTGAGAAGTTATTTTGACACATACATACCTCTGTGCCCATGGGGTATTTTTCTAAAGCTGTGCCTCTGTGTCAGTGGGCTGTTCCGTGGGGTAGTGCTGGTGAAGCATAGTAACCTCCATCTTGTATAAAACTGCTGTTTGAATTCTCTGCTATCGTTAGATAGTCCCTTGTTCTGTAAACTCTGTCATTTTTAGACAGTCTCTTATTCTGTAAAATAACTGTTTCAGTTTGAATAATAGAAAAAGATAAAAACTTAACTGTCTGACCTTGCAAGCTAGCCATCTATCGTAATGGACTAATACTGATAATAATTCCCATATTCTTATGCCAAGTGTTTGTTCTTTATGTATACAAGATTACAAACTGTCTGTAACAATAACTCACACAGAGCCCTTTGTAAAATCTGCAGACAGAGAAGCCCGAAAGGTATAAATACAGGAAACTTCCTGTATGTGTTGCTCAGAGATTTGGAAGAGACACCTCCCTCTGCCACCCGTGCAGTAAACGACTCCTAATTAATTGGCTTATTAAGGCGTCTTGTGTCTCACTCGCTGATTTACGACACAACCCTGGGAGCTGAGACGCTCCTGGCTGCGGGGCCAGCGCCAGCACGGAGCATGCGCTCGTCTTACCTGAGCGCGGTGTGTGGCGGGAGCCTGTGCACTGGCACTCCTCCGGCCACAGTCTGAGCAGCAAACCAAAGCCAGTTCAGCATCCAGTCAGGGTCAAGGACGTTTCAAAGCTTTCTGCAGTGGGGACCGCACAGAAGGGCTGCATTGGTGGTATGCTGGGGTCAGTCACAGATGTAGCTTTTCTGAAATGTATCTAACTGAGCATCTCCTGGGATGAGTGTTCAAGCTCCATTTCCGTTCTCTCTGTTACAATTCTTAACATATTCTGACATCCTGGGTCATAAGATGGCATAGTAATGTAAAAAATTGGCCTTTATGTACAATTTCTTGATCTATCTGTTGATAACCATCGTCACTTTCCTGGGGAAGTTCCTAAAGACACAGCAGAAGTGTGTGAGCCAGCGGGGTCTTCACACACAGCTGATGGAATCCAGAGCACACCTGCCAACACTTAGCGGAATGAGAATAGGACTGTGAATGACAGGTGCCCTAAATTTGTAAGGTTGTGTTGCCTCTAAGAGTAGCTCCTGAAAGTCACTAAATGTTCATAGGCGAGCTCTGTGTTAGGAAGTGAACTTTTAGTCAAATGGTCCTAGGTAATCCCAGCACCGTATACCAAGAAGCATTTCTTATGTACTCACAAGCTACCATTTATCACAGGAGACTCGGGATGAAGCCCCTGCTCAGGTATTTTTTTTAACTGGTCATAACTTCAATAAAAGTTTGAAAAGGAATTCTATATCCATTACATTGTAGCTTTTTAGATCAGTACGGGAAACAGTTTAAAAATCTTGATTATTTATTAATTATTGTATTATTTTCCACACAAACCGCTGTACACCTACTTATTGTATTATTTTCCACACAAACCGCTGTACACCTACTTTTGCCCCACCCTGTATTTGTTGCATTTCAGGTAACTTAAAATACTTAACCTGCAACTTTCTTTGTGCAACATATTATTGAAGTACTTTTAGGGAAAGCAATGTAAGTATTTTATTATTTTCACTCCTAGTACTGATTATTTATGGAAGTTCTTATTTTGTTTTAAAAATCATCCAAGACATCTTTTACTATTCTTTTTGGGACTGTAAGTTGGTACAGCCTCTCTCTCGAGGGCAGTTTGAGAGTACTTTTCCCTCTCGAGGGCAGTTTGAGAGTACTTTTCCATACGAAGATTCTAACACCTAGTCATTTTCCTTTTAGATGCCCTATCTGCAAGGCACTCAAACAAATGAGCAAAGATACATGTACAGAAATATTCACCGAAGGAGCATTGTAGAAAAATTGAAGCCAATTTAAATGCCTGTCACTAGGGATGTGGTTAAATACCTATTGACATATAAGCACATAATCACAACGGCCTTGGAAAGATGTCTGAGTTGTAGTATTAAAATTAAAAGCAAGAAGAAAGAAAGGCAGTGGAGTGCACATAGTATGTCTGCATGTGCAGGGTCATTCCACAGCGGCAATACTTGCAGGTGCCCAGAAAAAAAAGACTACAAAGGTGTTGTAGTGGTTTCCCTGCTCTGGCTGCTGCGTAGCGTTGTTAAGGTTGCACACAGCTCAGGACGCCTGGCTGCGGCAGGGGAGGGCATCCTTGCCCCACTTGCCTGCTGCCCAGTCACGTGCTGGCAGGTGACCACGTCCACCCAGAGCAAGGGCAGCTCTCTGAGTGTCGCCGAGGTTCCCTGTGGTCTCAGGGCCATGCTGACTGCTGGGGCCGGAGTGGATGTGTGTCGCTGCTTTTATTGTCTTGTTTAGTTCCTTCTGGTGGCATTTGCATTAATTTTGAACAAGCAAATATATTTGTCATTTAAAGAAAGTAAAAATTGAAATACAAATGCAGTGAACCAAGAGACGGACCGAGGAAGCATCGAGCACGCCGGAAAAAGAATCCTTTGCCACCCAGACTGGGTTTTGCACCAGGGCAATTTGGGGAAGAGCAGTGTGGTACACGGATGTGCTGTTAGGGTCTCAAATGACAATAACAGCTGCTCGCCGGGAGTTTTCGTGTCAGGATTCTCAAGGAAGGAAAAAATAAGATTAAAGTGGGACGGTTCCTTGAGGCCAACCACTACCTGTCACTTGAGCACGTTGACAGGATCAGTTAGGAGGAGGGATGAGCGTGGCGCACGCCCAGAGCAGAGCCAGCGCGTCCTGGAAGCTGAGGCACCGGGCTCAGGGGCCGATAAAGGAAGCCGTTTCACATGTGTGAGGCAAGTGTGTTAGATTTCCAAGTGGAAACTTGGATATTCATCTGCCTTTCCTCCTCCCTGGCAGCTGATGGTCGCTGAAGCCTTGAACATTTCCAGGGAGACCTACTTTGCGATTCTGATGGACCGGTCCTGCAACGGCCCCGTGCTGGTGGGCAGCCCCCAGGGGGGCATGGACATCGAGGAGGTGGCAGCTTCAAGTCCAGAACTTATTTTTAAGGTATGTTTAGATTGCTGGCTACTCTGTGTTCACCGGTGGTGGTGGTAGAAGCTGTTAAATATTTAATGTGGCGTCTGAGGCTGGTGGTGATGCATCTCTCTCTGGGATTTAAGGCCGGAGGATGTCAGGAGCTTTTTCTCAATGACCATCGGGTTGAAAGTTGGGTAGAATGGAGATATTCACTATTCAAGGTCTTTTTCTTTGCTTTCCTCGCCCTCCCTCCCTCCTTCCCTCCTTCCTGCCTTTTCTTCCTTCCTTGTTCCTTTCCACTCAGCCTGTCCCAAGAATTAAACAGTGGAAGCAGACTGTGATGTTTCCACTTCCTTTTTGTTACCTTTGCCCACTTAAGAGTATTATGATTAGAAAAGCTCCAAGGAGACCAGATGTAAGCTGGAGGCTGCTTGGACGTCTTCCAGCAACATCAGTGTCAAGCAGAATCCCCGAAAGCCCAGATTCTTTGTTTCTTTCCATCCTTTACGTCTTTTTCCTTTTATTGATGTTAAGATTAGTTCATAGCCCTGGCTGGTGTCACTCAGTAGTTAGAGCACCGAAGGGTCATAGGTTCAATTCCCTTTCAGGGCATGTACTGGGTTTCAGGTTAAGTCCCCGGACCAGGTCAGGGCACATGCAGGAGGCAACCAAACGATGTGCCTCTCTCACATTGATTAGTTTCTAGCTGAAAATATCTGAGGTAAAATCCCAACTAGCCAGCAAGTTTCCCGATATCTCTAAGCTTTATGTTAAATCAGTAAAATGAAAATGGGGGTAATTGCCACCCCATAGAATTGTGAGAATTAAAGGAGGTGATGTGTTCTTGGCCTACCTCAGCTGTAGTAAAAAAAAATAAATAAAAATCTAAGGACCCTAGCTGGTTTGGCTCAATGGATAGAGCGTCAGCCTGCAGACTGAAGGGTCCCAGGTTCGAGTCCGACCAAGGGCACATGCCTGGGTTTCAGGCTCGATCCCCAGTAGGGGGCATGCAGGAGGCAGCCAATCAATAATTCTCTCTCATCATTGATGTTTCTATCTCTTGCTCCCTCTCCCTTCCTCTCTAAAAATCAATAAAAGATATTAAAAAAAAATCTAAGGCCTTCTGAACTGTTGTTGTAATGTACCCCGAGAATCACAGAAGGACGCCTCAAGAAGTCGAATTAAAGAGTCACATTTATTGCAATCCGGGACTATGAGGGGTCATTCCCAAATCTCATAGTAATAAGATGGTGGCAAAACCAGACTTATATAGGCAAAAATCACAAAGGTATTGATTACATCCCAGGGTTTGGAATGAGGCACCTGGCTCGCAAAAAAGCAGATTACAGAAGCAGAATTAAGCATGTTAATTACAGTTTCGGGTCTCGGGGTCACTGAATTGACAGAAATACATTATCTAGAGCCTTTGGGTAACCTGGGTTAAACTTAGGCATGTTATCTAAATTACAGTTCTGGGTCTCCGGATCACTGAGTTGATAGAAACACATTATCTAGAGCCATCGAGGCAATTTAGAGTAATTGCACTGTCCTGGTCTTAGGACCACTGAGTCAACTGGAACGCACCATCTGTGGCCACTGAAACAATTTAGGGTAATTGTGCTGTCCTGTTTCCCAGGTACAGAAGAATGTGCTTCGATAACCAGTAAGATCACAATCAATGGGATAGTCATTCAATCAATAAGGCATTCAATCGAATGGGATGACTTATACAATTTAGAAAATCAAAGTAACCTGTCCATTGTTAAACAAAGCAAATAGGTACCATACTTCACTGTAATTCCAGGTTTTAATTCTGGGTTCTTAGTATCAGAAAAATCACATTAAGATTTCTAGCATAAATACTCATTATTTGATTTAGAAAGTGATTTTGTTTTCCTTCAAAATTGGGACATTTATTTCTTGAACTTCTTTGTGTAAAGCATTGATAGTTTGGTTATTGGTTTTAGAATATTTTTACCAATGTTACATATTTAAGTTAACTGCCTTGCAAGTTAAATTGAGACTTTACAGGCTGACTTATATGTAGGTTTCCCCCATTATTCAAAAGTAGAGCTCGCCTGTGAAACCCTTTGTGAGCTGAAATGATGAAAAGTGAAGCAGAATTTACCTTAGGACACATCTTGCTAACAGATGAAAAAGTAGACTGAGGAAGCCCATGTGCTCACAGACTCATTTCCCGGTGATGGGGGCTGGATGCTGGGCGTGGTGCCCCAGAAGGAGCTGGGCGGGGCCCTCTCCCTGCCCAGGATGCGCTGCCTCCATGACTGCAGCAAAACGAACACTGAACACTATTTTCACTTTTAGCCATTTTTTGAAAAAGCAGAAATCCTCTTTAGATTTTTTTTGTTAACGAAAACAGATAAAAGCGAAGGGGCAAAGCAGACTTTTGAAAAGAGTGGGATACCTGTAATACCGAGTTGGTATGATTTAAAACAAGCCATTCCTGCCCTGGCCTGTGTGGCTCAGTTGGTTGGGCATCATCCCATGCACTGAAAGGCCACTGGTTTGACCCCTAGTCAGGGCACATGTCTGTATTGTGGGCTCGATCCCTGGCAGGAGGCATGCAGGAGCAGCAGATCAATGTTGTGCTCTCACATTGATGTTTCTCTCTCTCTCTCTCTCTCTCTCTCTCTCTCTCTCTCTCCCTCTCCATCCCTCTCTCTCTAAAAATTGATAAAAACATTTAAAAAAAACAAACAAGCCATTCCATTTATCAAGAGAATATATGAAAAAATGTTCATTTGTGAGCAGTGCCCAGAGTCTAGGAGAGAATAGCACTTTGTAAAGCTGAAGCATTCATAACTTTCATCATCGATACAGTGTTTATATCATAAGCTAATATTTTATCTGTGTGACAGGCTCTAACCTTCATAGCAGTATTAGGCTGGAGAAACCTTACTTTGGAAGCCTTCCAAAAGATGGCATAAAAATTAACTGACTAAATATTCGTCAGTGCCATCTGTATCATAATTAAAAGTGAAAGCTGGCATCCGATTGTCTCGTCAGCATGCCCCCCGAAGAAGTACAGTTTTTGGAAAGGTTTTCTATAGATGGCCTGCCAATTAAAACCTACCACATCGGCAGCTGCAGGAGCCCCACTCAGAGATCTCTGGAAAGGTGCCTCACTTTCTTCTCATTTGCAAATAAATGGGGAGCACTGGTCTTTTGAGGTTGTCTCTCAATTGACTGTCTGAATTTTGTTTATTCATCTTTTACCAGGAGCAAATTGACATTATGGAAGGGATAAAGGACAGCCAAGCTCAGCGGATGGCAGAAAATTTAGGCTTCCTTGGGCCTTTGAAAAACCAGGTACCTGTGTGATTGGAGGCCGTTGTGTCTGACTTGTTTCAGAAAACATTGGAGAACTTGCTTATTTGTCTTCAGTTACCCAGAAACAAGATACGTTATTGTATTCTTTTTCCATTCAGTTGTTTATGATGAAGGAAATATTTCTCTGGTGTTCTAAAAGAGGATGTTTATGATGTGTATGTGTATATATGTGTATATCTCGGCGTGTGTGTAGGTGTGATGTTTGTGTGTGTGTGTATTGCCTGCAGACACATACACTTTGTTATGAATGTTAGTTTCTGTCTTTTTTATAGCTTGCAGCTCCAGGCCATGAATTATAAATGGCAGCACAGTGATTAGAAGCACAGGCTGTATACTCAGAGAGATTGAGTTTGAATCCTACCCTGCACCCAACACGTGAGCACATATGTGATCCAGCCCATCTGAATGTCAGTGCCTCAAATGGGGATGATGAAATTCTGAGAGGGTTATTGCAAGGACTGAGTGCACTGATGTGTGCAAGTGCGAATTCAGTCCCCTGACAGGTCAGTTATTATTGTTACCAGTAGCACACATAACTTGTCGGTATCCTTGCATAGCTACTAGCCATTTGAGATGAGTATTCATGGCATGAAGGTCATATTTCACTGAGAACAACTTAAAACATGGCAATTTAGTAATTATATCTCTAAACTTCAGAGACAGACAAATTGGCCTCCGAGGTGCGCAGCGGTTCTCAACCTGTGGGTCGTGATCCCTTTGCCGGTCAAACAACCCTTTCACAGGAGTCGCCTAAGACCAGGGGTGGGCAAACTTTTTGACTCGAGGACCACAATGGGTTCTTAAGCTGGACCGGGGGGCCGGAACAAAAGCATGGATGGAGTGTTTGTGTGAACTAATATAAATTCAAAGTAAACATCATTACATAAAAGGGTATGGTCTTTTTTTTTTTTAGTTTTATTCATTTCAAACGGTTTGCCCACGGCTGCCTAAGACCATCCTGCATATCAGATATTTACATGACGATTCATAACAGTAGCAATATTACAGTTATGAAGTAGCAACGAAAATAATTTTATGGTTGGGTCACAACATGAGGAACTGTATTTAAAGGGCCACTGTGCTGAGGGAAAGTCTGTCTTGAGCTTCACAGCCCTGCACTGCCCTTGGGCAGCCTTACTGCTTGTCGGCATAGCCAGCTTCCTCGTCCCTCAGCTAAGTGGCTATTTTGAACTCCTTCATTACTAAAATCCTGTGTGTGTGTGTGTGTGTGTGTGTGTGTATCTGTGTGTATATGTGTGTGTATGTTTGGGTATGTGTACATGTGTGTTTTCCCCCTGGGGCTCCAGGATAATTACAGAACATTTTATTTCATTTAGTTGGGTAGTATTCCTTCAAAAAAACAATAGATATTGCACTTTTTTCTTATCGCCTTTACTTTTTCTTTTGATTGATTCTATTTCTGGATAGTCAAGAGTGACAATAAGGCAAATCATAAAGAGTGAAGCAGAATAAAACTTTTAAGTGTGTGTATGTTCCAAGGCATCATTCAGAACCACCTGAAATCTGCCTGAATGGGAGTCCTACAACTAGAGAATTAAAGAAGAAAGCACATTGAGACTGGTCGGAGGGGGGCAGAGCAGAGGCATGGAACAGGCTGGTCTGACACCCACAGGTTGTGTTTTTCTAATCTGGAGGGAATCTCGGCTGTGGAGGCCTCCTATGAGGAGCAAGGGGTCCCAGGCCCATACCAGACCCCCAGCCAGGGTTTCACAGCTGGAAAGAAAGTCCCTGTAACTTTGGGCTGAAAAAGCTAACAGGGATTGTGGCTGAATGACACAGAGGCTGCTGCAGACCCAGGCAGTTCCTCTTAAAGGGCTGGTGCACGACCTCACATGGACTCATTCCCTCTGAGCTCCAGCACTAGGGCAACGGCTTGGGAGGATCCAGGGACTTACAGGGAGAAACTGGATTGTCTGGCATCTGAACAAGAATTCGGGGTGGTTTCTCCCAGACAAGGGTGCTCATAGGGGTCATTGTTCCTATGCTGAGACCTCCTTCATCGCTGAGCTGACTGGCAACCATATCTGAGTTTCCATCAGCATGGCTCACACTGTTAGCTCCGCCCTGGCGATTCCCTGAGACACCACCCCATTCAATTTGCAGCCCCACCCAAGCTGTTTGCAGCAGCTTTTCCATGTGAATGGCCTGTCCTAGCTCAAACAAGCAGTTGCTAGAGTCAGTGTGCTTCATGCCTATAAGGGGCCCAAGACATGGCACTAGCAGCAGCCTACCTTGCTTCACAGATTGGCCTCACCTGGGTACTTCCAAGCCCTACATCAATAGCAGCAATTTGCAGATTGATCTGTAGCCCCTGTCGGATGGCCTCAGGCAGTGGCTGACTTTGTACCTCCTGAGAGACATCAGAGCCAGTGCAATGGTGGACAGCTCCAGACCCTACCAGATTACAACTCTACACATGCACAAGTGACACACTCAAGGGAAAGACTCAGTGAGCACCAAAGCCCCATTGAAGAAAGTCCTGCTCCTTAAGGTTGTTTTCTGCACAGCAGCTCTTCCACTATAGTTGCAGCTGGTCCTCACAACCAATTAGCATGGAGGTCAACTCCTCCCAGTGCTGCCAACAGCAATCAAGGCTCAACTACAAGACTGTGTGCAGAGCCCACACAGGGGCCCACCTAGAATGCCCAGCTCAAATGACTGGGGAGGCTGAGCCACTGGGCCTTACAGGACACCTATTATACTAAGCCACTCTTCCAATTCCAGGAGGCATAGCAGCTCTACTTAACACATAGAAATAAACACAGGGACGCAGCAAAATGTAGAGACGAAGAAACATGTCACAAATGAAAGAACAGAAGAAATCTCCAGAAAAAGAACTAAATGAAGTGGAAGCAAACAAACTACTAAATAACAGAGCTTAACACAATGCTTATAAGGATGCTCAAATATCTTCATGAGAGCTTCAAGGGATTTAATGAGAATTTCAAAGATATGAAAAGGACCAGTCAGAAATTAATCATACACTATATAATTTTAGTAACCAAAGTAAATTCAATAAAATTTTTAAGAAGTTAAAGAGAGGAGAGTACTTATTTGAAGATGGGAAGAAAGGTTCCCTTGGAAAGCAAATATTCAGGAGGTCAAAGGGGACAGGATCATCTGGGTCTAAACCTCAGGAGAAGGTACAGTCAGGATTCAGTGAACAGTTAGAGGAACTAATTGTCATTTAGAGGCTGGCGAATATGCCAGGGTAGTGAAAGGACAATGCTGAACAGCTCTTGGGTAAGGGCTACAGCCATTGGTTTTATCTCTTGGGAATGAGGCCATCATTATATTATTGATTGATTGAGCGGCTCCTTGTGTTGGGCAGGCTCACCAGAGCCCCTCCCACATAGCCACTGTGTTCCAGCTCCATGCACTCAGTGCCCTGGTTCTGTGCCCGTTTCCCTTGGCTGCTCTGTGGTGCCCTTAGCCATCCACAGTCCCCTTTGCTGGATCCTAAAGTGTACACAGGACTTCCATCTTCTCACTGCTGCGTTGCTGGGAATGTGCTTTGCAGATGTATGAAGTGTCCAAGAAGCAGCTATCATATCAGTGAAGTAGCACATCTAGGATGCTCCCTTTGACGAGATGCCAGCAGGTAGCTGTAAGGGCAGGAGGACAGATCTGGAGGGGCCAGATCTGCTGGCCACATAATTTCAAAGCTCAGGAGGTGAACATAACAGAGTTCTAGGGAAGGCAGTAATCGTATCGTGTACATCTTAAGACACCTCCTCCCTCCCCAAAAGCATTATAAGAGAAAATTAAGTTATTTATAGCTGTTAAACCTCTGAATCTTGTTTTCCCAATGCCCCAAACAACTTAGGTTTTAAGTGAGTTACCTAGGAAAGATGAACATGCAAGTTCTCAGGGGTCATTAGTAGCTAATTGTCATTATATTTCTTAATTACATTTTTAATTCACGTTGTTCCTTATTTCATTGCTGACTACATGAAAGATTTTGCATCTTCACTTGCTCAGCAGAAGTGGAGGGAGCACTGAGCGGGTGCTGCACAGCCTGCTGGGCCCTGGGCATCGAGAGGGTGAGTCCCCGCCACCCTCAGGCCCAGCGGGCTCTGGAGGCCGCACCTGAGGAGGGAAAGCACTTTAAATGATGACCAATTTCTGGTCCTTTGATAAAGAAATGGTAATCTTAGAGACCCTGTGGATTCCATAAGACTGAAAGTTACTTAAGTTTCATCTAGGATGCAGTTTAGGCATTTGGAGGAGGTACCTCAACTCATGGATGAACAGCATATAAAATGATTATTTATAAATTTAGTTATGTCTGTCCTGTGACTCATGCCTGATGTCTCTAAAACAGCGGTTCTCAACCTGTGGGTTCCGACCCCTTTGGGGGTCGAACGACCCTTTCACAGGGGTCGCCTAAGACCATCAGAAAACACATATATAATTACATATTGTTTTTGTGATTAATCACTATGCTTTAATTATGTTCAATTTGTAACAATGATATTGGGGGTCACCACAACATGAGGAACTGTATTAAAGGGTCGAGGCATTAGGAAGGTTGAGAACCACTGCTCTAAAAGCTGATGTAAGTTTTAATAAAAGTAAATATCCACCGAGTATGTGTTCCTGGTGAAAATCCAGTTCAGCAAGAATGGGTCGAAAAGACCAAGCCACGGAAAGCTGAGCAGGACCAAAAGTTCCCACGTTCCTCACGTGTGTCCTAGTTAGCATCTGGACAACCAATTTCTGAAACACTGCCACCCGGAATCGTCACCTGGTGCCTCTGGGATGGAAACTGATGAATGACCCAGTGGGCCCAGTGAAAACCCACATGACCCCCAGGAGTGGTTCGTACCCCCGCTGGCTTTAGGGACCATGTGTGAATGCTGACGATACTCCATTCTGGGATGCAAGAAAGGTACTTACTTTTTTTTAACCTGTTAAAACATTTTGAAGACACTTAGAAATCGTCGTGGTATGAAGCATATGTCCTCAGGGATATTGGAATTTAGGCATTTTAACTTTTCAATTGTTTGTTGCAACCGTAACTTTCAGATTGTAACCAGCAGCCTTAAAGTAACATTAACTGGTGGCCAAGGGGAAGCAAACCCCTTTCCTGCGTAGTGTGTGATGCCCCGAGGTCGTGGGTGGCAGTCCAACCTGGTTGAGGGTACAGTCCCCGGCAGAATGTTTCTCTGACTCGTGTTTAATTGTTTCTTTAAATTTGAGCACATTTGGAAAGCAGGGGAGCTAACCTCAACTTGCCACAGGCCTGCCATTTCCTGTTTTACACCTGGTCAGACCGACACACCTGCCCAACTCTTGTAGTCAGTTAGTATTGCCTTGGAATAAGACGTGTCTCCAAGCCCGGCTGGCGCTCCCTGTCAGTCTTACAACACGATTTCATCATGCTTCCTCCCTGCTCAAAACATGTTTATATTTAAAGCATATGCCATTTGTACACGAGTATACAATTACAATAGTGGAGGACCCCCGCCCCATAAATGCTCTGTTAATGTATAATTACAATGGCATTAAGTGCAGAAAATCCAGGCTTCTTCCAACCTCGGTTGATACAGGCTTAGGAAGCTTTGCAGCGACCCAGGTGCACATTGGTAAACGAATGGATAAAGTATGATGTGTGTATATAATGGAAGGTGGTTCAGCCTTGAAAAAGCAGATCATGACGTGCTGAGCATGGCTGAGCCTTGAGAACATCAGCCTGGCGTTGGGGGCTGGGTGAAAAGGTAAAGGATGAAGCAAAGAAAAAAACCCTCATAGACAGGAACAACAGCATGGCGATCACCAGAGGGAAAGGGGTGCAGGAGGTAGAAGAGGGTAAAGGGGGGGTAAATGGTGATGGAAGGAGACTTGACGTGGGGTGATGAACACACAATACAATATTCAGATGATGTTTTATAGACTTGTATACCTGAAACCTATGTAATTTTATTAACCAATGTCACCACAATAAACTCAATAAAATAAAAACAATTAAAAAAAAATTAGCAAGTCACAAAAAGACAAATAGGCATGATTCTGTTTACGTGTGTATATGAATAGTAAAATCGTAGTGACAGAAGGTGATGGGTGGTTGTCAGGCAGGCGGTGGGGAGAATGGGCAATTACTATGTATCTGGTACGGAGTTTCAGTTTTGCTGGATAGAAAGTTCTGGAGCATGGTTGCACAAAAATGTAAATAGACTTGACACTGCAGAACTGTACACGTACAAATGGTTGAGCCCATGAATTTTATGGTATTTGTATTTAAAAAAAGAGAAAGCTTTAAAGTAGCTGAGATAAGATCTTATATGTTTATGCACCCAGAAGTCATTTCTCTTACGCAGTTTCTCCTCATTGTTAACCACCGCTTACGCCAGCGGTTCTCAACCTGTGGGTCGCGACCTCTTTGGCAATCGAACGACCCTTCCACAGGGGTCGCCTAAGACCATCCTGCATATCAGATATTTACATTACGTTTCATAACAGTAGCAACATTACAGTTATGAAGTAGCAATGAAAATAATTTTATGGTTGGGTCACAATATGAGGAACTGTATTTAAAGGGCCAGAAGGTTGAGAACCACTGGCTTACGCTGAGTGTTTGCTGAGCGCTGACGGGCAGAGGCTGTGCAAGTGCAGGGCCTGCTGTGGGTCAGGATAGGCAGCGTGCGTCTCCAGGACTTGAGTTCCCAGCATGTCGATGGCTTAGAAGAACCTCAAAAGTACAAAAAAGAGTCAAGAGTGTGTTACTTGCCAGCTTTTCAGTGTAACTCAAATAAAATCTGTTTGGATTTTTAAAAAGTAAACATCAAAGGAAATTTTAAAGAGTCTTTGAAAAGATAATGGAGGATTGTTTTAACACTCGAAGTGGGACCAGCCTTTTACACTGACACAAAGTCAGACGCTATAAAAGAGTGGCATCACTATCAAATTTCCATGTGGCAGAAGTAACAAAAATATGGGCAAAAGATAAAGGAGAAAAGTATTTGCAATTGATATGAGATAATGAGCTAATTTCTTTCATGTAAAAATACCTTCATGTAAATTAATAAGAAAAAGGGTAAAATCTCAACAGAAAAAAAATGGGCTGAATTCACAGAAAAGGAAATACAAATGTCTCCTAAGCTCCTAGAATAATATCAAATTCACTCCTTAATAAGAGAAATTCAAGTTAACACCGCGGGTGGAAGACGAATTTCCCCTGGCACACTGGGCGCTCCGAGAGCTGGTGGTTGTGACTGGGACACTCCGAGGAGCTGGTTTGTGGGAGGGGATTAGTGGCAGCTCTATCAAGAACAATTTATGATAATCTTTTATTATTAAAATGCCCACATTTCTCTTCCTTCCAGTCCCGAGAAGTGTCCCTACAGGCATTTAATCACATGTATGATGTACACGCAAAGATAGGTGAGGAGCATTTGAAGGAATGTCAAACTATTGGAAGCCAAGGCACATTCGTAAAGAGCCACGTTAAGTGAGCTGTGATACATCCACACAGTATTATGCAGCCATTTCAGAGAATAACATTGTTCTGTTTGTGTTGCTGATGACAGCTCTTTAAACTCTATTAAAGACAGAAATTTGGTTTTGTAAAAGAGATGAGTGCGGAATGTGCATGCTGGCATGTGCATAGAACCTCCAGCGTAGCAGCGACTGGTCAGGTGGCCGTGTGGCCGGAGTCTGGGAAGGCTCGAGGCAGACCTTGGTGTGCCTGGGGAATTGGTGTCACGTCTTTGTTATCTTGACCCCCAGAAATTAATACTGAAAATATTCAACCTCGCCCTAGCCAGTTTGGCTCAGTGGATAGAGCATTGGCCTGCGGACTGAAGGGTCCCAGGTTTTATTCCGGTCAAGGGCACATGCCTGGGGCGTGCAGGAGGCAGCCAATCAATGATTCTCTCTCATCGTTGATATTTCTATCTCTCTCTCCCTCTCCCTTCTTCTATGAAATCAATAAAAATATATTTAAAAAAATATTCAGTCTTACTCATTATGTTTGTTTATTTATGTCCACTGAGTTGCAGGTTAGGATTTAAGGAGGTTTACAGATACACATAAAATGAATAACACGCATCACATCTCCAGGTCCTCAGTTTAGTGGGACAAAGAAACCACTCTCTTCCTTTCCCCGGTGGGATTTATTCCGAGGAATTGGCTGCACGGATAGAGATGTCAGAGCTGAGACATTTCAGAGTGGACAGAGTCGCTGTAGAGCTAAACAACAGCCATTGTTGCTACCTGCGTGCTCGGGGACAGGAGGCGGGTGTCGCTGGACACTGGGGCACAGAATTGGAGCCCTGGTGGGCCTGTATGGTGGGAGCTGAAGTCAGAGCAGGAGATGCTGCCGAGGGCAGAGAGGGGAAGAGATACCCCAGCTTTGTGCCCCCCTTCTTGCCCCCCAACTCCTGGCTCCCACTGCTACCTCCCATTGGCTGGCCTGAGCCCAAGAGCCTTGGAAACAGCCTGCTAGAGCCACCTCCCTCGATCTACAGAGGAGAGAGGGGGGGAAAGCCACATGTGTTTCTGAGGACAAATTACGCAGGGCTGGAACCACCAGCAAAACAGCAGCAAAGGAAAAACCACGGCCAGGAATCAGACCGAGCCCAGACGAGACTGGCGGCTGCCACTCGCCGAGGTCGCAGCCTTGCTGTGAGGCGTCCCAGGCTGTGCACGTGCAGGTGTGAGCTCTCCAGGCAGTGCCTGCCTCGTTCATGTGGTCCCCGAGCCCAGGTCACACAGTGCAGGGTGCTGGGACTCAGCGGTTCAGAAGCCTTGGCTGAACAGCGTGCATGAGTGGGTTAACTTAAGCAGAGTGAGAAAATTAAGCCGGCATCACCTGTGGGAAACTGGCTGCCCTGCTCCCTGGTCTCTGCCTGTGGGGCACACTGTTCTCAGTTGAACTGTGCTGTGCATTCATGGGCGGTTTAGGGCCTCCATCTTCCTTTCTTGCAACAGTTTCCATTAGACGCTCAGTAATTGTTCCACAGATTATAAGTTTGAATTGATGAATATAATAACTGTCTAATTCCAGCATAATCAGGAAAACCTAGTTATTATAAACTCTCCAAGTCATGTTTACCTTTTACTTAAATGGAGCTTGTTTGTATTAATGATTGTAGCTCACATTGTGGCATAGCTCGGCTAATAGGAACACGGTAATTTACAGAAAGATTACCAGCGTTTTTAGGCCATACTGGAAATATGTTGTTGTCTTGATAATGGTCTTTTCTGGTGTCTGGAGGAACGTGGAGCAATCCCTTCTAATGAATAGCAGTGGAAATTAAAATACTATGCTTTTCTGTTTTCCCCTTCAGAAAGCCTAACTGAAAATAAAGACAGAGCATGTAATTTTTAAGGTTTCATTAATCCAGCAGAATAAACGTTCTTCTACTGCTCTGGTGTAATTTCTTTTCACTTGATCACGTCTAGGCTGCAGATGAAATTAAGAAGCTGTATCACCTCTTCCTGAAAATCGATGCTACGCAGGTGGAAGTGAACCCCTTCGGTGAAACGCCAGAAGGACAAGGTAAAAATAAATAAATAAGAGAAAACAAATGAACACAATTACTCCTGCAGACTATACATTAAATTCTACACAGGACTGTGGCAGCAGCTTTGCATTAATTTCTCCCAGTGATTTAATTTCTGCCACAGTTTCAAATGCTCCCGTGATGCAGTCGAACGTTTCTGCACTTGAGTCTGTTCGTATCCAAATGCCAAGCCTCAGAGGAGGCTGCTTTTTGTCTTATTTAGAAACACCCATCCTCCAGCAGCCCTTGGCTTTTTTTTAATATATATACACATTTTTATTGATTTCAGAGAGGAAGGGAGAGGGAGAGATAGAAACGTCTATGAGAGAGAATCATTGATCAGCTGCCTCCTGCACGCCCCCTACTGGGGATCGAGCCCGCAACTTGGGCATGTGCCCTTGGCTGGAATCGAACCTGGGACCCTTTAGTCCGCAGGCTAATGCTCTATCCATTGAGCCAAACTGGCTAGGGCCAGCCCTTGCTTTTGAGGCCCATCACTGTGGTCAGGGTTTGGGTGGAAACAGGAGCCACTGCACTTGGGTGTAAAAAAACGTACCTGCTTTATGACCTGCCTAAAGCTTTTCAGTTGACCTCAATCTGCATATAGTCACCTGTGCGCCCGCTGGGTTGGCACCGTCATGGTGACGCCCCGGTGCCCTGCCATCAGGCTTTCCCCCTGACTTGATTATGAACTTCTGCTTCCAGTGGGAGGAGGCATTTTGGGGGGAAGATATTTCTTATCCATCAGGTTCTCGTGGAGCATAAGTAACTGTTACATCTCCGCACCCCCCACAAGTTCTTATTGATTCCCTAGCCAGAGCTTGTGTCTGTGCGTGTGCTTGGTGGTAGGGATGGGTAGTGAGTAGGTGGATAGCATAGTGACACCAGAAAGTGACTTCCATGAACCTTGTCTTCTTAGTTCATTTCACCCCCAGTATCTTGTGTGCTGCCTAGAATGCAGTGGACAGTCAGTAAACTGGTCTTTGCCATTGGGTTGGTAAATGAGATGATCTGTTATGTGCAAATACAACCAAGTTGTAGACCAAGATGGAAGTGTGTGTGTGTGTGTGTGTGTGTGTGTATTTTCATTCTTTAATTCAGAGCTGTCTGCTGCAGGTACAACTCTGAGCACAAGGTCAAAGGAGACAGAGTGAATACCCCTTCCCATCTCCCTCCTTCCCGCATCCTCTGAACTGTGTCAAGAGGATGGGCGAATGTCAGAGACCTGACCTGTTTGCATTTGCCCTGTGCCCTAGGCCAGAGAGGGGGTCATGAGCTCACTGGGAAGAAGCTCCTCAGTAGGCCCAGAACCTTGTCATTGCCCTCCCTCCCACCCCCTCACCCCGCAAGGCGCTGTCCATACCCCTGAGCCAGGGGTGTTTGGGCAGGGTGTTCAGTGCTTTTATTTTACAGAGGGACCTAGGTTCTGCCATGTCCTGACTACAGATCTAGGCTAAGCTTCGTGGTTGTTTTTTCCATCTTCTTTTTTTAATCCAAAAGTGTGACTTGTGTTTGTGTAAGCCTCCAGTGTTAGACATAAAACATGCCAATTCCTGACAGTCATAACATTTAGTTCCTCTTCTCAGGCACAGCAGTAGTTCAGGAAGGGTATAGATAGATTTTTATCTTTTTTTCTATTTTTTTTTTAGCATTTCAAATTAAGATTGCCAAAAAGCTCATGTTTAGGAAGTCATTAAAAATCATATATTTCATAGTTTACACAGGTGACCCACCAGATAAAAATCTGGTAGGTCATTTATAAACAAGCTACCTTATTCATAAATAATTTTTACATTTCATCTGGCTGTGAAATCATCAATACATCATATAGACCAGGGGTGGGGAACGTCCGGCCCGCGGGCCATACACTCATTTGGTCTGGCCCTGCCAAGGCATAGGGGTGAGCTAGTTAAATGTTTGACAAAATAGAGCAGGCTAATTTTTAAGCAGGCTAATTTTGTATGGCCCACAAATATCCAATATTTGATGTTACAAATATCCAAATGGCCTTTGGCAGAAAAAAGGTCCCCCACCCCTGATTATAGACAGTACGGGAAGGAAGAAAAAACTCTTGAAATCTTATGTCAAGCACTATGATAAACTTTTACTTATATTCTTTTTTTTTATTATTACTTGCAGCAACCCTGCAAAGTCAGAAATGTTTCCCTATTTTATGGAGGATTGAAAAATTCCTGTAACTTCCCCCTGAGTAATTAATTACTGGGATTCAAACCCATGTCTCAGTACAGTGTGTCTGTGGATTGTGATAGGCCATACTGACTTATAGTGACTGGCCTTTTCTTCTTTTTCCCTCTTAAACTATTAAGTTGCTTTCATCTGACTGATCGAGAAGTAGTCCCAGTTTGGGACTATCAGCCAAAATTCACGCTGTATTGAGTGGCTGATAATTAAGTCCACAAAATGAAAGAGATGGAAGTTCAATATAAGTTCTTAAAGGTCATGTATTGCTTTTCAGACTGGTATGCACAAGACACCTGGTTATTTCCTATTTTAAAAAATGGAAATTCAAGCCTTTGGGAAGATGTCAGTCACAGCTGGTTTCTGGCAGGGGCAGGGCTGTGAGAACCTTTTCCTCTGGGGTATTTGTAAAACCTGTGAAAACTGAAGGTTTTTTTTTAATTATTAAGAGGAAGGAACATTATTGAGCTTTTTTGAAAGACTCATCATAAACTAAATTTTGTGTTTACAGTTCATTGAAACATAAGTCTTATGTGCTATTTTAAGAACAAAATTATCTTTAGCTATTTGTTCATTGTACCATAAAAGTCCAACTACTGAATTTAATCACAATTAAATGAGTGTGTTGGTTTATAACTCTAATGAGCAGTAGTCAAATTAAACCCAATTAGGAAACGGTGATTAATGATCAAATGTACAAATTGATCTTCATCATTGTCACAGTCCCCTAAAGCAGTCCTTTATTTAGGGGCTGTAAAAGCAATCATTTATATCTGAGCAATATTGATAATCTTAATATTTAATTTTTTCATTTAGATCAGTAATAGCAGAACATATAACCTTTCACATTAAAACTTCAGTAATTACTCTTTTAATTTAGAAGTGTAAGGAGCTAGGCATCATACCAGGCATTTTACCTTTTTCCCGTTTGTGACAGAGCCTCTCTGTAAGAGCGTTTCCTCAGGCTCCTGTTGCTCCATGAGGAACATTGTTTTAAACCCAGCTGCGTGGTCACGTATTTGCAGATGCTGCTGCTGGAATGAGAGCAGTGGCCTGGGTGACAGCTGTGCTGCCCGGTCACCTCGGGGGCATTTTTGAGGTCGAGAAAGAACAGCAGTCTAGGAGCGATTTTTTTCCCGTGTGGTTTATAATCTGATTCAAAGACTATGATTTGGCACTGCTGATGGTAGTTTGGTGACTATCAGGATTGTAATGGTTATTAGAGATAGAAACCCCCATCTGCCTAGTTTTTGTGGAAAAGACCCTGGTGGGGAAGGGGCACTTATTTCACTCAGGTGACGGGAAGTCTAAGGAGTGGCCTGGGGAGCCTCTGGCCCTGAGCCCTGCCTGCGGCTGAATGCCCTGCACTGTCAGCAGGGCTGCTGGAGGGCAGTAAAGGTGAGCCTGTTCTTATCACAGCTCCTCCAGCAACCATAGCAACCTTTCAGATCATTCTGATTGGTCCTGCTTGGGTCACATGCCATGCCTAGACCAATCACTGAGCCTGGCTCACATGGTATTCAGTGGTTGGCAAATTCATTAGTCAACAGAGCCAAATATCAACAGTACAACGATTGAAATTTCTTTTGAGAGCCCAATTTTTTAAACTTAAACTATATAGGTAGGTACATTGTTATTAACTTAATTAGGGTACTCCTAAGGCTTAGGAAGAGCCACACTCAAGGGGCCAAAGAGCCGCATGTGGCTCTCGAGCCGCAGTTTGCCGACCACAGTGAGAAAGGCAGTTTCTTGATGGAAAAAGTGACCAGAATCACCTAACTTATTGAAATGAAAGTAAAATGTTTATTAGTCAGAGAGAACGTAACTGTTCTCCTTGCTTATCCGATTGCAGTGCCAGGATTACTTCATTAAACTGTGAATGAATTTGCTTTGTTATTACTTATCTACTTATCCATCCATTCGTTTATTTAGTTTGCAAGCCACGGGGACTTGGCCTCTGATTTCATTTCTTCCCACTTTCAGCCAGATCTGCCTGCACACAGACGCCTTTCTTTGGTGTCTGTGCTGTTTCTCAATGCGAAGGTGGGCATTTGTCCCTAGGGAACCTTTGGCAACATCTAAAGACATTTTTAAATTGAGATATAATTGACATAACATTGTATTAGTTTCGGGTGTACAACACGATGATTTTATTGGATCACTGCAGTGAGTCTCGTTAACATCCATTTGTGTTTGTCACAAATTGGGGTGCAGTTGCTACTTGTTTCTAGTGAGTGGAGGCCAGAGAGGTCGCTCAACGCCCTGTAACGCACAGCACAGCACCTCCCAACAGAAGTGATCTCGCCCACCATGTCATAGTCCCCACATGCAGACCTCCGGCTCCAGGGCATCTTCGTCAGCTGGAGCACAAATCCATTCACCAAATTAAAGGAATGAAACCTGGTTTAAACAGTGACTATCTGGCCAAGATGACATGAGAGTTAAGGCTGGGTTAAAGTTAACTGGAACATCAAATCTCTTTCTTGCTTCAAATTAATTTCCCTAAATAACAACCCTGTTGCTTTGTGTTAGCAAGTGCCCATGTTGTCGGTGGGTGTTTCGGTTTCTGTCTTTATACACAAGACTTCTATTTTCAAGAACATTTTTAGTTCTACCTACCCTCAACCCCCCTCCCTCCTCATATCTATTTTCTCTTTCCACAGCAACTAAAAAAAAAATGTTCTAAAAAGTATACAACTCTTGGAACATCAGTATTTAATGGAAAGTGGGGCCAGTTTGAAAGTGGCAGCATTTTAAGGGCTCATTTCCATAGCACATCATGGTTATTTATCGCAGATCCAGCGCAATGCATTGCTTGAAGACAGATTATTTTTCAAACTAATTATGACAGTCTTACTTCCTGCTGTTGTTATGTTTCCTTTATGTGTGAGTCTCCCCTCAGAAGGTACTTTTCTTTTGTTTAATTCCATGGCACATTCTTCTGCTGAATCTCCAGGGTCAGAGGCTGCTAACTGCCAGTCATGTTGTTCATGGAGGTTGTTGAATTAACAGCTCGCAGAATCTTAACACCCACCGCTGAACAAAACAACAGAAGCGCCCTGCGACCAAGTGTGCGGTTCCCTTTCATAGCTGTTCAGAAGGAAAACTCATTTGTATAATCTATCAAGCATGTAACAATGTGCTCTTGATGGTGAAAGTTGTTTTATAAATATTAATAGGTGTGTTTTTCACCCACTTTGTACACAGAATGGCCTTTGTTCAAGTTGAATTTTCTAAAGAATTGAGGTTTTATTATTGTGACATTGAAAGTCTTAATGTCTGAACCAAGCTGAGCACCTTCCAAAATACATTTTACCATAGTTTGTTGTTATATTCAATGAAAAAACTAAGGTTTGTTATTGCCCTGCTGTTGACATAGACATCAATCCATTTTGAACACGCCAGGCCTAAACGTGTACTTGGAAAGGTCTTACAGGGGGAATTAAGCATACGAGAGTCAATCAATATTCAGGGATTAATCTACTTGTGTGTAGCTGCAAGGTTTTATTTTGTTTGTTTCACATTTTTCTTTTCAAGCTAGTAGGACGCACTTTTCTAAGTTCTCCTTCCCCATAACAGACGTGATAGCGGAGGCCACTGTGTCAGTGTTAGAGCAGGGTGCCAATGTGACGAGCCTTTGTGATTAGCAGGGACAGCCCGCCTGTTCCCATAAGGGCTGGCCACTTATCTCAGCTGTGGGGCTCTCAGGACAGCAGCGACAGGGAGACGTAGATGAACTGATGTGGCTGTGGTCCAGTCAAACCCCGTTTACAGAAACAGGCATGAGCTGACCTGAGGGGCACATTGGGCCCCCTGACTTCGATGTAGCAATCTGTAGCCACCTTGGCCCTCTGCAGAGGTGTTGTGTGATTTGAGGCTCAAGAGAGGCAGCTCTTTCACCCTCGTCCTTTAAGAGAAAATGTCCTTCTCTGTCAATTACAAGGCCTTCATGAAATGCCTGCCATTGAAACCCTTCCTGGGGGAAAGGCTGAGTAGTGAGGAAAGGTCATCTAAAACGGAATGGCCACCCCCAAAACCTACATCTTTTTGGGCGGTGAGGGGGTGAGAGGTGCATGGGCTCTCTTAGACACATCCTTGCATTGTGAAGATGGCGTTGCATTGAAAACCACAGGTAATGCATAGATGTAAACCCCTTAAGCATCAGTTTATATTTATTCTAAACAGAAGGCCGGCACTGTAAGGGAGTGGACCAAGTACAGGTCATTCTGAGTGAGAGGAAGAGAGGAGAATCCTCTGGGCTGGGCAGCGGACACTCTGAGTGTCGGAAAGCTCTGTGCAGGGACAGGACGGGGGCGAGGGCCAGTTGTGTATGTGGCCGAGTGCCTTGCATGCCTCCTCTCCTTCCAGCAACCCCACGCGGCTGATGGCCTCTGCTCCCATTTCATAGGCCAGGCCACTGGGCTTAAGGTGATCGGCTGCCTGGCTAGGAGGGGCCGGAGTGGTGATTCATACAGACGGTGCTTTGGATGCCAGAGGACATACATATTTCTCCCTATAGAGATCCTTTTTATCCCACAGTCGCCACCTTCAAGCCCTGGCTCGACGGTCTCCCAGGGTGGCCCCGGTAGAGTGAACACATTTCTGTACTGAGTTGCAGGGCAAGCATCGAAAGTCTGAGCTCGCAGACATGCAGCGGGGCCGCCTTCTGCACGCCGCATCCATATCCCCTAATTATGTCTCTCAAGGTGCTTGTGAGTGCAGTCTTGTGAGGGGCAGAGAGCAGCCGGGACTTACTATGATTTACTAGTTTATTGATCTCGACCAAGAATTCTTTTATGTGAAACTCTTCTCTTAGGAAGTCAATTTGGTTGCCTTTGCCCATTCATTTCAAAGGTGTCAATTTCAAGTAGTCTTGCCAATGAGTAATGGAAGAGCTACAGTTACTAATAAATTAATTAAAATGTATTTATAAACCCGGTGGAAAGCCAAGAATGAAGTTGCTTTCCTATTGATTATTACACCGGTCATTAGCTGCTGAGAAAATGCCACTGTAGCAAGCAGAGAGCATGGGCCAACTCCTTTGTAATTAATTGTAGGATTCCATCGCTGAGGTTCCAGTGTTTGGGAAAGCGATTGCTCATGGGCCCCATGTGCTCACAGCCTGTGGGAAATGTGGTGGGACATCTTGTGGCAAGACTGCTGACTCCCGCAGACATTAACTTCCACGTAGGACTCTCTCTTCTCAGTCAGGGCTACTCTAAGTAATTTGTGGTTTTGACTTGTATTTATGCCGAGTGTTCTTAGATGTTAATATGTCAGATCTGCACAGGTTGGTTGATGGTTGTGGTAGAGCCCATCGGGGAAACCGCTGCCTGGGCTCTTTCACCCCAGATGTCTCAGTGTAACAACATTTTCTTTCCATAGAAAGCGAGTGGAATTCACAGACTGCAGTCACTGCTTTTGATTGAAATATGCCAGGGTGGTTGTTTCCCCTTTAAGAGTTAGGTGCCTGTCTGCGGTGCTGGAGAGGAATAGTACCTGGTCAGAGACCCCTGCCTGTCCATACCCCAAGTACAGTAGAGGAGGTGATGATGGGATGGCATCACAGATAGCTAATTTCCACCCTAAAGGCTGTAGTAAAGCGATCAGGCCCCGGAAACCAGTGCACCACCCCACCGTGCTCACCCCTGACTGTACATACAGAAGATCTCCTGTAAGTCAAGGAACGCGCTCGCGGTCCATCCTCATCCCTGAGTGGGAGTCACTATGTCCAGGGCCCTTGGCCACTGAGAGAGCTAAGAGCCTTAACCAGCCCTGGGGGCAGAGACCGCGTTGCCGATAGTGCCTGTCAGCCTTCCTGTGTCTGACCAGCTGGGTCTCTTAGTGTTTTACAACTTGAATCAAAAGAGTCATGTCCTGCACATATCAAGGTGGTGGTTGATGGAACGCACGTTAGCAGGCCCCAAGTAAGTGTATCAGCAGTCTAGGGAATATTTCCATTTTCTAAATAAGAAAACTGAGGCCTGGAGAGGAAGTAGGTTATTATTATTATTATTTAATCAAGGCTACAGTTAGTTAAGGATCATATAAAAACTATTGATTCTGACCCAGTGTTCTTTCCACTACATCTCTGAGAAATACTGGTGAGGATACAGTTAAATAAAAATTTCACTTTGCATCATCAGAAGGACAAAGGACCACGGCAGGATTAGGGGTTATTGTCTAGTCTCTTTGCATAGAAGGAAAAGGTGACAATTAGTGATTAATTATTAACAATATAGCACGAACAGCTCATCAAAGCTACATGTAGCTGGCAGTCTTAGCTTTTAATGGTTGATAGCAACTTACATTGTTATTTGATTGAACAGAGATCAGCAGACACAAATGCCTGTGCTCTTTGTTTGAAGGTAAGTCCCTTGGAACAGGAACCACTTTATATTTGTCTTTGTAGCTCTGAAGTTTAAGTTTGGGGCAGGAGGCCGCGACAGTTGTCCCGTCTGTATCGTGAGGTAGGATGACAGTGTCTTATTTTTTCTCCTGTGCCAACCAACCTTGGGAATGTAATGTGTAGATCCTAAAGAGACATCATGTATGTTCCTTTTTTTTAGTTGTCTGTTTTGATGCCAAGATAAACTTTGATGACAACGCAGAATTCCGACAAAAGGACATATTCGCCATGGACGACGGATCAGAAAACGAGCCCATTGAAAATGAAGCTGCCAAATATGACCTAAAATACATAGGACTGGATGGGAACATTGCCTGCTTTGGTGAGCAGTCAGTTATGGCAAAAGGATGGCTTGTGGATTTTTGCAGAATTTAGGAACTCCTGATTTCTGAAATTTTATTTCCTAGCAGCAAGTAAACATAAGAGATTTTTCTCCCCAAGAATTTTAGGAAACAATTCAGTTTCTTCCCAAAGCAGACTTTGGTGGATGGTCCCTGGTTTAAAGGAGGGTTTCACCTCCGGCACCGGCGACATTTCAGGGGGGAATTCCTCGCTGGCTGAGGGCTGGCCTGCACATTGGAAGGCGTTCAGCAGTATCCTGGCCTTTAGGGGCCACTAGCACCTCCACTTGTGACAACCAAAGTGTCTCCAAACACTGCAGGGTGTCGGGATGGGCAGAACCACCCCCGGGAGAAGCCCTGTTTCAAAGCATCAGTTAAACTTCACTTTTTACTAAGCTAAGGGCCTTTGCTGCTCCAGGCAATGCTAATATGCAGGAACTATTCTGAAACTTAGGTTCAAAACTACTTGCTCAGAGGAAGTAGAAAAGAATATATACTTTACTCATTATGCTCAAGTTTCAACTTCTGTGATAAACAAATGATAAGTTGCTTAATCCATTATACCACTTTGTTAATAAAACAGTTGATTTTATCATAATTATCTAAATTTGTGAAAATGGCTTATTCGGTTGAAATAAGAATGAGTCTATAGAGGCAACACAACTTTTGTTATTGTCCACAGCTTATAGTACTGAGATTTATATACCTCTGTGTTATGGTGGAACCAATTTATTACACTGGAAGCTGAGTTCTTAATCTTAATGGAATTTAAATAAAGAAGATTTATAGCTCATTAAGCCAACAGTATCATTATATTCAGAACTGGATAGACCTCATCCAGTAGTTTTCTGTTCATACAATAGAAAATGACATCTAGTTACAAGCGGCACCAAGTGTCTTGCTTTGATTGGAGCAATAACTCTCATGTACCCCCTCGCACACCCTCCTGCCCTTGGTCAGCTAAGGTGCTCAGTATTGTAGGCATTTAGGAAGGAGAGAGAAAATTCGGGTGTAGAACAAATTCAGTCCTTTGTAGCCTCTGTAGGCATGTGCATGGTTTGACAAAATTAGCCTAATGCTTTTCAAATTGCTCTCAGATCCTAGATAAACCATTTCTATTTTAGTTGACCCATAATTAATTAAATTAGTCACAGTTCAGTTGTCTGGGGAATTCAAGGGTCAGAAAAAAGTGAAGGGTACTTTATCTTGAGAGTTTCTGCTGAGTTCAGGAGATTTTTATTATTTATTTTATTTTTTTTTACTTTCTAACCTGAGGAAAATAACTTCATATAATTAAGCATAAGGAACAACAGAACTACATTGATCAATAAAACTGAGTTCTAGAAAATAAGAATTTCTATGTTAAAACTCATTACTTGGTGTTTAAAGAAAAGCTCCGAAGATGCTAGCACATTTTGGTTCTAGTTTGAATGGTCAGGTTGCTAGAGAACATTTGTTACATTATTTTGAAAAGGAGCAGGGGGCTAGGAATGTTGCTGAGTGATCATCTGTTCATTTGTCTTCTGACTTTCTCCAGATAACGTATAATCATGCTTGGCTGCACTTGGTAGAAAAATGTGGGGAACCCTCTTGCAGCTTGAAGGCCCGTGGTTCAACCCCAGAGGGTGCCACAATCCAGGGACCGTATTCTCAGCAAACAGAACTAGGAGAATTCCATTTTCTACTCTTAAAGGTTATTAAAAAGAATGTGGCCCGGGTGGTGTCACTCAGTGGTTAGTGTTGGCCCAAGGACAGAAGGGTCTCAGCTTCCATTCCAGGTCAAGGGCACATACCTGGGTTGTAGGTTCGATCCCTGGCCCCAGTCGGGCGCTTGTGGGAGGAAATCAATGAATGTGTCTCTCTCACATTGCTCTTTCTCTTCCTCTCTCTCTCTTTCTCTCCCCTACTTCCTTCCTTCTTTCTCTAAAAATCAATGGAAAAAATATTCTTGAGTGAGGATTAACAAAATAAAAAACAAAACAAAAAAGTAATTCATAGGCCCCAGTTACTTTTCACAGCTTTTTTCTCTTTGCCAATTTCTTTTTTTAAATATATTTTATTAATTTTTTATAGAAAGGAAGGGAGAGGAATAGAGAGTTAGAAACATCAATGAGAGAGAAACATCAATCAGCTGCCTCCTGCACACCCCCTACTGGGGATGTGCCCGCAACCAAGGTACATGCCTTTGACTGAAATTGAACCTGGGACCCTTCAGTCCACAGGCCCACGCTCTATCCACTGAGCCAAACCTGTTAGGGCTCTTTTCCAAGTTCTTGAAATATACTTTCCAGAACCCAAAACTCCCTCCTCTATTACGAACTAGCCCAAATTGATAACTGACTTCAACTCTTCCTTCTTTCCATTTCCCAGATTGATTTCACCTCCCGATAAAGCCATCTCCCCATCGCCAGGCCTTTCTTGGTTATTCTTTGTGTGCACATCTTCTGATTCCTTATCCTAAAAATCTATGAGCTTATCCGGTTGAATAGAATTTCAAACAGGGCAGAAATTGGCCCGTCATGATAGGGTTCTCTTTTGCAATTGTGTGGAGGGAAATGTTTCTGGGCCATTTCGTTTTACTACATTGATCCTGCCTTGTGTGCTGTTTGCACTCTACAGTGAATGGTGCTGGACTTGCCATGGCTACTTGTGATATCATTTTCCTGAACGGTGGGAAGCCAGCCAACTTCTTGGATCTTGGAGGTGGCGTACAGGAAGCTCAAGTCTATCAAGCCTTCAAATTGCTCACAGCTGATCCTAAGGTAACTCTCTCTTGGGTGGAGGTGGCATAATGTTCTGGCTTCTCACCATCAAGAGCAACCTTGTTCCTGCTGCAGGGGGTTCGTATGCAGCCCAGAGGCAAACCCTGCCTTACACGCCATTGACATACCCGGTGTTTAACTCATTTGCAGTGAAAGTCTTGTAAGTGCCCCAGGATCTTATTTCAGAGGCTGTGCTTTAAGAGCTCTGGGAGGTGGCAGGAAATAAAACAGGTGTAGTGCCCCGAACAGTGAAGCGTGGGCTGGCATGAAACATCATTTGGGTAATTTACAATGAGGCAATTAGCTCTATACTTATATGACTTAGAGAAGACTGGGTGTTGGATTCCTTTCATAAGATGCTGATGGTAGTATCATATGCTTGGAGACAGAATGAAAGGATAGGATTATATTATCATACTAGAAGCCTAGTGCATGAATTCATGCACCAGTGGGGTCCCTCAACCTGGCCTGCGGGATCGGGCCAAAACCAGACATCCCCCGAGGGGTCCCAGATTGCGAGAGGGCGCAGGCCAGGCTGAGGGACCCCACCGGTACATGATTGGGCTGGGGAGAGATTCGAGAGGGGAGGGGCCGCAGGAGGGCTCCAGGGCGTGTCTGGCCATCTTGCTCAGTCCCCGATCAGACCCCAGCAGCAAGCTAACCTACCGGTTGAAGCATCTGCCCCCTGGTGGTCAGTGCACATCATAGCAAGCGATTGAGCAGCCTTAGCATATATTTGTATATTACGCTTTGATTGGTTGACTGGACGACAGGACACTTAGCATATTAGGCTTTTGTTATATAGGATATTACTTGAAAATAATGACCACATTGCCTTCTGCATGTTTTTTATTTTTTATCTCTGACAGTTGCATGTGTTACAGTTTATAATATATGCTTTTAGTAGCAAATGATATTGCTTTCTGTATGTCTTGTCTTAACTAGAATGTAGCTATCACACCCAGGTACACAGTAGATGCTCAGTAAACATTTAATCAGTCTAAATACCAGTATGTCTTCTTCCATTGGAACTACTCGGTTGTCTATGATAACAAGGTTTAGGTGGGTATTTATTATGTGGACAAGACTAAAATTTTTTAGTGTATCATCTCACGCTTTTAACAGTTCTGTGGGGTAGTGTATATGCCATAACCATTTGATTTTAAATTTTGAGAGTCATTATTTTGATGCTGTTAGATTATCTAAAATATCCTGTTGGTTCTTGAGACATATGAGGAAATGGGAAATCTGAACCTATCACCAAGAAAATCATAAATGAAACCAATACCAGATTTTTTTAAAAAGAAATGTAGTCTGAACTTAATGTGGGAACCTTTCATTAATAAGTATAATGGCACCAGGCTGGTGTAGGTCAGTGGTTGAGCATCAACCTATGAACCAGGAGGTCACGGTTTGATTCCTGGTCAGGACACATGCCTGGGTTGTGGGCTTGATCTGGTCGAGCAAGAGGCAATCAATCTCTGATTCTCTGTCATCATTGATGTTTCTATCTCTCCCTCTTCCTTCCTCTCTGAAATCAATAAAAATATATTTTAAAAATATATAATGGCAATAGCCTTTTGGTTTCAATGTATAAAATGTTGTCTTATATTAGTAGTACAGTATGCTTGTCTGTGTTCATTATGACTTGGGTATTTACCTTCTTTTTGCTAAGACTTTTCCTTCTGACTTACAAATCAGTAGAAAGGTTTATCAGCTGCTTCTCTTCAGTTCGCCAGGCCGTTGGGGAATGGCCAAGTCCCTGAAGTCAGGTCACCCAGCCAAGAAGGAAGTGTTTGCGGTTGACTTTTCTGTTTACATAAGCACCTTGTTTTCATTAAGTAAGGACATCACCAGTGGCTGCCTACTTATTTATTAATTCATGTATCCCTTCTTACTGTTCCTTCCTAAGGGAAGAATCATTTTCTTCCCAGTGATTTTTAGACCAATTGAAATCCGTGAATAGTATGGATATCACACACAGTCCTTGAGGCTGCTTGAACCACAGAGGAGCCAGGGGACAGGCACCTGTAACAACATACTGAACTTGCAGTGTCTGCCGAAACTCGGTAAAGAATAATCGAGAACCATCAAGGGATTACATCTGCCAGGACAATCAGAGCGTTTAAAAATATATATATTTTTGCCCTAGCCGGTTTGGCTCAGTGGATAGAGCGTCGGCCTGCGGACCAAAGGGTCCTTGGTTGTAGGCTCCTCCCCTGTTCGGGCCCTGGTCAGGGCACATGCAGGAGGCAACCAATCCATGTGTTTCTCTCACATAGATATTTCTCTGTGTCTTTCCCTCTCTCCCACTCTCTAAAAATCAATGGAAAAACATCCTTGGGTGAGGATTTTAAACACACACACACACACACACACACACACACACACGTGTTGTTTTCTTAGTGGCTGTTCCTGAATTTTAATTCTGCAAAAATATTAGGAGGGGAATGAAAATCACTTGCAGAGCCATTTTTTAAAAACTATCTTTCCCAAAATGTTGACTTTACCTTGTGGAGTATTTTCCAATGCTTGCAGTGTTTAAACTTGTTTGAGATTGGCTGTCATCTTCAGTGGAGAAAGGTGTGGGAGTTATTTTTCTCATGCTATATCAGGAAAATGAATGCAGACCTCATCGCACAGTACATTTTCCAAAAATTGAAATTTCAAAGCCAGTTACAAAGCAGAGGTATGTAATGGTATTTTCAGCCCTGGCATTGTTTCACAGGCTTCAGAGCACAGGGCTGAGGAACACTGCCGCTGCATTGATTGGCTTCTGCAGGGAAACTGGCCAGGCCCGGCAGCCACTCTTTCCCGGCGAGCCCCGTGCCTGCCCAGAAGTAGGTTCCCACGAGCCCGAACCTAATTATTTCAAAGGCATTGATTTTCCTGTTAGATGTAAGGGTTAGTCTAGTTGAGTGCACTGAAACTCAAACTTACTGATGGTCTGTTGTTCAACTTAAATCAGCTGATACTAACAACTACTGGTTTGCCATATGTATGAGCTGATTCTGTTGGTCAAGTAATAAACATCATCATTTAAGAAAAATATGATGGATTGACATACACTTCTGCTCCTGAGGTCAGCCACGAGCTGGAACTTACATTTATCTCGCTTGACCATCAGCCCAGCTGATGATTTTCGCTGGGAACTGGGGCAGGTGCCTCGATGAGCAGGGTGTTTACTTGTCTGTCTGTGATTCATATGGAATAGAGCTCACTTACTGAATTAGATTCACATGCAGGGTATTATACATATTTTATAATTCTCGTATTTTCCAGCTGGGCTGGAGATGAGAGGAAGGTAATAGAGTTTGTTCTGCCTGTGGTAGAGCAAATCTTATCTTACTTTAATCATTTTTAACTTACAGAAGTCATAGAGTAAAAAGAATATAAAATAGGAAGGGTAAGTAGAGTTTTGCTGTAATCTGTAAAGAATTTGTGCACATTTAAGGAAAAACTATAAGGAATGCTATCCTTAGGTTTTTGTTTTCCTAAATGATGCTTTGGCTTTTATTTCTAATTTTAAACTTAGAATTCCGACGGTGTAGAAAATGGGTTGCAACATCTGGAGTATGTAAAACATTTTGCATAAATGAATAAAAGGAAGAGACAGTTGACATGAATCTCAATAGTAACTGCAGCTCTTTGGGCCACAGTTAAGCAGATCCAATGCTCTCCGGGGCCTGGTTTTGCAGAGCAGTGGGTACGATTCCCATTAGTGAAGTCACCTCACTTGGTTTGACTGTGCGTCCTGGTCTAGATCCAACTCAGAGCCAAGCTTCAGAGCCCTCTGCTCACCCGGGAAGAAGTGTCCACCGAGGCAGCAAACGCTAGTTTCAGAAGGAAGGGAACCTCCGTGGGCTGTGGTGCCAGACTGCCTGGGTTCCAGTCCTGTCTGCACTGCTCACTGGTTGGAGGACTTGGGCATGTGGTTTAACTTCTGTGGGCCTTGGTTTCCTCAGAAAATGGAGAACATCCCAGTACTTACTGCCTCAGAGGGTGGTTTTATTACATGAATTGAGATAAACACATATATTTCCCACTTAGAGGGTGATAATTTCCTATGATAGTTTCATTTAAAATTTTGATGAACTTTTTATTAAAGTGTAACCTACATATAGAACAGAATAAAGATCATTTTAGTATGTAGCTTAGTGAATTATTGCAAAGTGCACATACCTCTGTATCCTCCAGTCAGATCAAGAAATAAAATATGACCAATATTAGGAACTGAATGTTTGTGTCTCCCCAAATTCATATGTTGAAATCCCACCCCCCAATATGATGGTATTGGGAAGTGGGGGTCTTTGGGAGCTAATTAGATCATGCAGGTAGAGTCCTCATGAATGCGATTAGCGCCCTTATACAGGGACCCCAGAGGGCTCCCAGGAGGTCCTCTGTGTGCCAGGAAGTGGCTTCACTAGACACTGAACTGTTGGTGCCTTGATCTTGAACTTCCCAGCCTCCAGAATTGTGAGAAATTGTTGTTTAAGCCTCCCAGTCTATGGTAGTTTTATATAGAAGCCTGAACAGTCTAGGACAACCTCCCTCAGAAACCCTTATGTTCTCCAACTCCCAGAGTCCTACCCAGCTTTCTCCCCAAAATAACCACTATCCCAACTTCTGATATTGTTGATAAATTTTGCCTGGTTTGAGCTCAATATAAATGGAATCACAGTGTGCACTCTCGTGTTTGCCATCTCCCACTAAGCTGGATTTGTAAGACCCATCACACTTGGTGTTGCGCTGGTTCGCTCCTTCTCATTTCCATGCAGCATTCCATTGTGTGGCTCCACCAGACCTTCTCATCCTCGTCTCTTGAGAGGCATCTGTGTCATTCTCAGTTTTGACTGTTATGATTCATGTTGCTCTGAACATTCTCATTGTCCTTTGGAGCACATTTCTGTGGACACACTTGGAACTAAAGTTTCCAGGTCGTAGGGTGTGCATATGTTCCGCTTGCATCGATGCTGCCAAACAGCTCTGCAGATGTCCCGGAGTGCACTCAGCACAGCCAGGTTCCGGGC